ATAGTCCGAGAAGGACAATGCCCCCAGTTCTTACCGATGCCTACCTGAGGCGAGGGCCAGTAGGAAGACTATTTTCCACGTCAAAAATTTGAGTGGTGCTGATCGGAGAGGCTCAAAGGGCAGTCCGCCTAGAGCAGACAACACAACCGACAAATCTCAGTTGGGCGGTTCCCTTGTACGGGGTCTCGGCCTCTCATTATGAAAAGCAGTAAAATAATCTCCTAATAATAGGACAATCGGCTAGTCTTGTTCCCAAAGCATTCTCAATTGACGTTGGCAGCCTGCTCAGATAAACCTTTTGTATGTGCAGGTCTACTGAGAGCCTCTATGCATGTCAGTGATACCCGTTGGGCTCGTTGGTAATGCGCTGTCTGGTTGAGACAGCAGGTCCGGTAAGTCCGGAAGGACTACTAGTGTTTCGACTAACATTTCCAACAGAAATGGAAACTAGGCCTTGGTTGGCCAATTGGATGCGACCAATGACAATATGCAGATGTGCACCTGTCAAGTTTTCTCCGGTGCTAGGTGAACTAGCGGGAAGGGAGGAAAGGCGTACACAACTAAGTGGGTCCACAGGGTTAGCAAAGGGACCTTGACCCAGGCTCCTGGAGTCGGCAGGAGTGTTATGTACGTCGGGAGCTTGGCGTCCGGGGTGCGGCAAACTAGCCTATCTTTGAATCGTCCCAAAGCCGAAACAGCCTGGAGGCTTCCCACTGGGGTATCAGCCACTCCGTGTTCTGGAGACGGAGCCTCCCAGAAAGGGCGTCAGTCAGACTGTTCCTCACCCCTGGAAGGTGGTGTGCGGTTAGCTCCACATTGTATTCCAGGCACCAAAAGAGAATTTGCTCTGATAGAACTGACAACGATAGGGAACGCGTGGTCCCGAAACTAATGTGGGTCATATCCTTGGGCTTGTTTGTCCAATAGATGCGCTCCCCAACCTTGGAGGGAGACATCTGTTACCAGAGTCATACCTGCGGTGAGTGGGTCCAAGGGGGACCCCTGTCAGAGGTTGGCCAGTGACGACCACCAGGGCAGGGCTTCCTTCGCTTGGTCCAAGATCAGAACCCGCTTATCTAGTTCCCATAGGAGAGCTCGGCATTGTAACAACAAGCGTTATACCGGGCGGCTGCGTAGTGCGGCCTGGGGAACCAGCCTTTCGAACCGAGGACATCATTCCGATGATCTGCATAACTTCTCGAAGGGACACTAAGGGAATGCTGACTAGGCGTTTGGCTAGGCTGTTTAGCGCTAAGCAACACGCTTGAAATAGCTATACCAAGCTTACCTCTGTGTCAAACTCCATGCCCAGGAACACCAATTGTGCATTGGGTCAAGATGGGATTTGTCGATTTACTAAAGAGCCTAACCGGTGAAGTAAATCCTGTGTTAGCCTTACTTGCTAAGCTAATAACGAATAATAGTAATAGGTACGAATTGAGGTGTACCGACATTTAGTGAAGCAGCAGCACTACCCGTTTCAACACTCTGGTGAACATGTAGGGCGCTGTGCATAACCTGAACGGGGGGCACCCAAAATTTGAATACTTGGCCCAGCTGGGCGATTCGAAGGAGATGGCAACTCGCTGGATGCATCGGTACATGCAGGTAGGCCCCGCTTAAGTCTAGTGGGGCTAGCCAGTCAAAACGGTGGACGGAGAGAAGAACCCTGAATGGTGTCTCCATGTGGAACCGATCGAGGAGCACGTACTGATTCAGTCTGCCTAGGTCCAGAACTGGATGCCCTCCACCTGTGGTTTTGGTACTACGAACACATTTGGGTAGAAGCCTGGAGTTAATGCCGGCTGATCTACCCTGTGTATGGCGCCCTTTTCCAGCAAACTGCTACTTCCTGCCTGATTGCTTCTGCCTTGCAGGAGTCCCCTGGCAGTGCCAAATAGGGGAGACACACTGACGAGGGAGATGGAGATTTAAGCCGTATTCCGTAACAGAATGTCACCACCTGGAAAGATCCAGGGATCGGTCATCCGCTGTCTCCAAACCGGACTACACCGGTGCAATCTGTGTACGACAGGGATATGTGGCCATGGGTTCGGCAGTTGTGAGGGGCCAGGTGAGACTAGGGGATGTCGCATGTAGATGCGCGGTGGCCCAC